AAAAAAAAAAAAAAAAAAAAAAAAAAAAAGGGAAAGAAAAGCAGACAAAGATGAGAGAGACAAAGCGTATTGCACCACTGCTGGGTGTTGGAAGAACCAGTGGGGTGGGGGACGTAATCGGACGGGGGTGGGTTGGACAGGCTAGCATTGTGGTAAGGGAGACTGAGTTGCTCTTGCCCCAGAGTAGCTCTGGGCCCTACTATCAGTTCAGATGCAAAGGATATGGAAGTAAAACTACAGCGTGGCCTTCTTCTGCCCTTGGAGCTGGGCTTGTGGGGTGTGGTGTGCGCTGGAACCCTGGCAAAATGACTCTGGTTTTGGACTTGGTTTTCAGGAGCTCTGCTTATTGCTTGCCAAAGGACAGAGCTTCAAATTCCCTCCCTGCCCCTTGCGTCCCCTATTCAGGCAGGCTCCAGGAAGGCATTTGTCCCATGCTCTCCTACTTGTCCCCAGAAAAAGAGGATGTTGGACAGGCCTTAAGAGCGGGGTTGGATGAAGGGGAGAACGCCTGAGTCTGCACCATCCGTGATTGCCTGGCCCTTCGCATTTAAAACCCCCTCCAAACCAAATGCAAAACTCAAGTTCCATCAATCCTTTCACACAGGGTGTAGGACTCAGGTTCTCTGGTTAGCTCTATGATAGCTGAAGTTACAGGCAAATATGGCAGAAACGAAAGAAACCAAAGGAACGACACACTGAGGAACTGATTATGAGGAAAGGAGCCATGATATTTCAGTGAGAAATACTATGGCGATTTGGCGCAATGCTGCTAGATACTGTTGGTTTAAAATGGACCTTTTCATTTCAAAGCTGTACACAAAACCTGGAAGAGAGAGAGGAGATGGAGGGGTGTTAAAGGCCAGGACAAGAGACAGACATTTCTCCTTGAACATCCCTCTGCCCGCCCCTTGCTCCAGCCTGACACGGCCAGCTACATGCCTCGAGCGCTCATGCTGCCAATGCCACAAGGGGCTTGAAAGAAAAGGGAAACGTGCACAAGGAGGGGCTGCGCGCCCCATGGAGGTGTGCCCACAGCTCCATGCAGCTAACAGGATCATGGCAGACCGACACACTACCATCTAGAGGTGCCGTGTCCTTCCACCAACAGCAGCAGCGGCGGCTCCTGAAAGCTGCCCCTCCACAGAAAGGGGACGAGCTGAACAGACAGGCCTGAGTCACTGTCCAGCTGTTCAGAGCTGCCTCCTGGCAACCCCAGTGCGGAGCCCACTCTCCCCACACATCCCAGGACAGACGGGAGATATTGCTGCATGCGCTTGTTCTTGCACAAATGACCGAGGCCTTCCCTCACCAATCCCGGCGCTCCCACCCAGAGACTACACAAAGCAGAAGTGCCGAGTGGCCACTGAAGGTCACCAACAGCAAGTCTATGAGGGCGGCACTGTCAGCAGTGCAAACGACTGACCTCTGGCAGCTCGGCAATGACATCCTCTATCTTAAACTTCATTCTCAGACCCACAGCTGGGGGGGGAAGGAAGGGGGGAAAGAAGTTGTCTAGGGATATCTAGCCCCTGGGCTGCTAGTACTGGAGATCTACCCTAGAGGCAGAAAAGGGAAGATCTGAACTTACAGAAACAACAGAAAAATACTCACTCCCTCCTCCTGCTACACCCCAGTCTGCTCCATCCCAAAGGGCACCTCCGGGTGCTTGTAGCTCAGGAGGACGTCTGTAATACACGTAGATGGATAACAAGAGGTGTTTAAATGCTGGCTGACATCAGCTAGATTTGGGTGCTCTTGACCTTCCAAACTTTCCCCACAGTCTGCAAGACCAAAGAGTAACATCAGAGTTTGTAGGCGAAAGGGAGAAAACTCTCACTGCTACTTGGGACGGCTACCAAGGGCCAAGGAGAGCAAAGTTGATGGGAGCTTCTGGCAGAGGGCACAGGCAGAGCCTGAGGTGCTGAGTGTGGGTCAGGGCTGGCATACAGGGTTGTCCCTCGTTTTAACAGAAAGTCGTTGCAGTGAGCATGACACGAAACCCTTTGCCGATGTCACATCTACCTAAGAAGCACACTGCGCTCTATGTGCTACAGCCCAGCTGTCTCCCTGCTGCTCAGGGCATAAGGGAGAGGAGATGACGACAGACCTTGAGAAGCATGTGTGGAAATTTACCTGGAAAGGACTCCAGCCAGTAGTGTGAGCGTCACAGGAATCCAAGACAAATGTCACTATACAGGGAAGCCACTATGTGCTTAAAACTGCAGCACAACCCAGAATGACAAGCGTCTAAGGGCTGCACCAGAAATAAGCACCAGCACACGCTCTGTGGGGAGTTTGGTAACAGTGCTTAGAGTCGATCAGTGCAAGCCTTCAACACATAAAAGGCTAAAACACCTCAACTCTGACCTGCAACAACTCCTGATCTTTCACCCTCCACAGCTCTGCCAACGCAGATCTATTATTCCAGCTCTTGGCCACGCTTAAACAGGGAATGCCAATTGTACCATACTCTCCAGTATTACAACATGCCTAGTACACTGCTGGCTCTATGCACAGGAATACCACCAAGGGAAGGGACTCTGGTGTGGACCCATATCTGATAGACGAAGATGGCACAAATCAGCGTCACTTCTGACCCAAACCAGATTGCAGCAGAATTCAGTCACCTCTGCAAGATGCCTTTTCAGCCCCAGGGAAGTCCTTACCCTCGCTCTCCCTGGCATGTAGCTGCTGGCTGGCCATGAGCGATGACTGGCTGAGTACTGCATCAGACATCCGAGCAGAGCTTAGTGCTTTTCCAGCCATTAAACTCATTCCAGGCAAGTTATCCAACTGGACCTGAGGAGACGGCAGAAGGAGACAGAGTCACACCCCTGTGCTCCCCCAGGACCGAAGGAGACAGTCACAAGCGCACATTTTCTTCCAGCACACTAGTAAGTTATAAGGAAAGTTACACCAGGCCTGGACTATGACAGAACTGCTTCCTAACCCCAAAGGGCTGATGTACACGGTACTCAGCGCAGCTGCCCTTGCTCCTCTCTCTCAGTGGCCGAGACCGCACTGCTAGGTTGTTCACCAATATTGCCTGGCTGGAAGTTTGGTTCTTTCGCAGATTATGAGACACTCTGGGCTGTATTCATCCCTGCTGCAACTCAAATGTTTTCAGCAGAGGCACCCTAGGGTGCGCTTGACCCTGCAGGAAAATCTCATATGGACTTGGTATATGTGGGTAAACTAGGCAATACTTGGTTAGCCACAGGTGGGAGATTTCACTTTTGGGTTGGTCTTTGCTAAAAGCACTTGAAATCCTGCCTGGTACACAACGGACATGCCGTTGAGATGTTCCAAAGGCAGAGGGGGAAGCATGTTATCGCATTGCTCTGCACAGCGCTGGATTCCAAGTTAGCCCCACAGGTTTATAAGCTGGTCTGTATTTGGCTAGTGAATGGCCTATTTGCTCAGCCCTAGAATGAACACTTCATAGAAAGTTTTACACGGTCTATAATGCCTGGCAGCCATGAACCTTCTCAAACCTACATAGGCATCATCGCTGTTCTGTATGGTGTGATGTCTCTGCAAAGTCCTGGGTCTGTGGTGTTCAATGGAAGCTGGTCTTGCAGAATAACCCAATCCATTATGATTGGGCATCTCCATAGCTTGTCCTGGAGAACTTCTGTCCATACAGTTCCCTACAATGGATTCTTGGAAGTTAGACAAAAGAGAAAGGGGATTAGTATAAAGAAGCCAGCGGTTTCCTGAGTGGTACATAACATGGAGTAACTGCCTTAATGAAGAACTCTGGTAGGATCACAGAAGTCAGGGGGGATGAATTAACAATCCATTAGCCTGTGATGACTGTGCAAAAAGGATCAACTGGACATATACTTCTTGTTCCTGACTGAGGAGCACAGATTTGTTTTTCCTTGACTCCAAAGACCATGGCTGGGCTGCTCTATTGAAGAGGATCTCACGACTGGCTTGACTACTGATCCCAGTCACAGCTAGCAGTCGACCGGAATCACGCCATGAGAACTCAGAGGGAAGAATGCACAACTTCTGTCTCAATCAGATACACAATATTTGAGGAGAAAGAAACGTTATCACAATGCCTGGAGACACCCACACAACCTCGTTCCCGTCCAGTACTAAGACGGCCTTTTGCTCCCACTTGTTTGAAGGGGTCAGACGTGCCGAAAAAGACCACTCCAGAAAGAGATGCTTATGATTTCCGTATAATGAAGGTCCCAGAAGGGCCATTCTGCATAACCTTGGAAAAGGGAGTTACCAAGACACTAAATCTGTATCAAACCACTGCTCCTTGCCCTTTGCAAACATGTTTGTAGGAAACTGAATATCTGTGCAAGTATCCTGCCTGGCAAAGTCCATCCATAACCTGCTGCAGGAGCTGCTGTGTCTGAGGGCAAGGGTTACGTTTCTATCAAGCAAAATCTAATGTTACTAAAGGTCGCCTCGGCCTCCGAATGACCGAGGAAACCTCTCCTCGCTCCCTTCGGTCACACACTGAGCAGACTGTTCCACTAACCAGCCCTCTCTTTTTTTTCCAGGCAGGCAGAACAAGCCAGCTGCTCTTTACAGAAGCTTTACAGCTCTAGGGGCCTGATCCTTGGTGAAATCATGGGATCGGTGACGTTGAAAGGGGAGCATCCACCTGTTAGATCATCAAGAGAATCGGCTGCAAAGGCAGGATACACAATCTCTGCTGGGGGCCTACCAGGCCTTCAGCTGAATGCGTATCACAGCACCATGACGAGGCCCTGCTTCGGTTTTCCTGCTCTCCGGGCCACCAGGTGTTGGGAATACTCAGGGACAATGTGACCGCTCACGGGTCAGAGGAAAGGACCAAGCACAACTCTGGAGCTGCACTGAGTAGCTCCTCCATTTCTCCTTGGGCACAAGGACAGCTGCCTCAGGGCTACAGAGGTCCTACCTCCTTGACTGGGAAAAAAGGAGCTGCCTGGTGCAGTGAACGCAGAGGTGCTGCACTGCTTTCCAAAGTCAATATTGGACATTCGGGGACAAATCCAACCTGGGTGTAACTCTATTGGTGCCTATGGAGTTATACCAGGGATAGCTGTGGTCTCTTTGCTTTGGCAAGATTTCATGCCTGGCATTTATCGTAAATGATCTATTCACTGTTTCAAGAATGACCCTGTTCCCATGAAACTTTTAGCAGAACATCCATTCGTTTCAGTGCCATCTGGACTGGGCCCCAAACTGTGCTGCCCCAGGAAACTAACACAATTCAGGCATGCGGGGGGGACCTGCACCTGTCCTAAGGAAGATACCACATTTTAGCAAAAGCAACAACATGGCCGCCCCATTCCCCGTAGAGAACATCCGTCTCTCACTCTGCAGCCAAACAGCACTTCAGAGTCTGGGATTCCTGCTCAGCGAATGGGTCTAGACTCCAGGTTGCTCTGCATTAACATGTCCTGGCTCGCACGGACGAGGTGTAGGTACAGAATCTGGGTTCAAATCTCCCTCCGCATGAAGAATGGGGTTTGGCAGCCTCTTGCGCCAGCACTCCCTTTGCCCACAGTCCAATCCGATCCAAGTGGCGTTATCTGTGATCAAACCAGCTTGCGACTCAGCTGGCAGAGACAAGTGTTACATGTGGATCAACTTGACCGTCTATCCGTACTATTCCTCAGCCGTGCCAGTGTCCCTAGCCCCTCCAGCGTATGGCCTCCCAGCCCACTTGCCAGCCCCAGTATTTTGGGGGGGAAAGGAGGGAGTTGAAACGCACTGATCATGCTGCTTTATATCACAATTACATGGTACTTCACCATGCTGTGGTGTTATGGGAGCAGATTTTGCAATAATACAAGACTGGGTCTTGGCTTTGCCTCCCTCTGCACGGCCACAAGGTTAAGTTCAGTTAAAAGTCTCACTTTCCTGGAAAAACAAAAGAAAACTTGAGTTACCCTGGAAAACAAACTGTTGGAAAGAGGCTGTGAGAAAGAACTGCCACCCACCCACGGCTCCGGCTACTGTTCAAACTGTGGGAGCGGTTGTCTGAGTGGGCAGCTCACAAGAGCCTGCAGCTATCAGCAACCAGCCTCCAAGTGCTGCACAAAGAACGTCAGTACAAATCTTGAGTGAGAGAGGCGCACAGTTAGCAGCCCAGGAAGCCCAGTAGCCTGCCTCCACTAGGGCAGCCCATGCACCTGAAAAAAGCAACAGAGGGTCCTGTGGCACCTTTAAGACTAACAGAAGTATTGGGAGCATAAGCTTTCGTGGGTAAGAACCTCACTTCTTGCATCTGAAGAAGTGAGGTTCTTACCCACGAAAGCTTATGCTCCCAATACTTCTGTTAGTCTTAAAGGTGCCACAGGACCCTCTGTTGCTTTTTACAGATTCAGACTAACACGGCTACCCCTTTGATACCATACACCTGAGGCTCCAGGGAAGGGAGGAATTCCCTCCTGAACCTCTTGCTCTACACAAACAGCGCACGGAGCAAGAAAACCATTTAGCACTTGCAGCTGCCACTGCTGTCAGCACTTCTCATGGTCAGGCCCAGGTTACACAGAAGCTGGAAGGCTCACATTTGTATCCATGTTTCATTGCAAACCCCAATCTGAATTCTTTCCTTCCCCCACCTGCTGCCTGAGCAGGGTAAAGCTCCATGGCGGGAGTCAGTTATCCACATCTGTGTAAGACAGACAGTTGGGTTCCCACTTCCCTGCATGGCTTCAACACAACAGATGTGACACAGCAGTGATCTGTTCCTCCCCCACATTAGTGAGTAACCTCCAGGGCTACTAACGGTGTTTGGGGGCTGGAAACCTGGGCTGGGCAGCGTTTTCGAAGCTGTACGGCATCTGGAGCACAACGATGCCCCGTAAGCGAGTCACTGAAATCCAACCACAGCTGGTGGGAGCCTTCATCAGGATTTAGGTGACAGGCAGCAGTAAGTGGTGGCATGCCCCAAAACTCTACGTAACGTCCCAACACACAATCACACTTCTATGGGGCAAGTACGTGGACCAAAGTACTCACCAGGCATGCCAGAGAACTGTAACCAGGACCAGCATACTCCTCAGTGTATATACCGAAGTGCAAGTGACCGGGAAGTGGCTCAATCTCTCAAGCGTAAATATCTACTCTATTGTTTCCACAATACATTTTCCTCATAAGGGAAATTACAATTTAAAAACCATTCAAACAACATTGTGAATGTAACTAGGGGAGCTCAAAGACAGGCTGACAGTCTAACCTTTGTGGGAGAGGGGGGTGGGAGGGCAGAAAAATCATTCAAGAGAAACCATCACAGAGTTACACTTGTGTGGGTTAAATATCCCCCATCAGTACTCCCCCAGTCGCTCTTCAGTGCACATGCACAGAGCTGCTGCTAACATTTGGATTGTTTTGTATGCAACAGAGTGGAAGTGAACTCTTTAGTGTTATTTACATGGAGGTTTTATTTCACTTAATTGTACACAAGTGTGCCTGGGTCGCTTAAATGTTAGCCCAATTGGAGCGGGAAGAGTGTAGGCTAGATTCCAACTGGGTTATTAAACACAAGGAGGAAAATAAAGGTCAGGGGAGCTCCACCTTGGAGTACAATCTACTATATTAACACTCCCAACAGCCACATGCGCACTCCCGCCTCTTTCAGAACGGCTTGCACAATTCCTGGTAAATGTTGACTTCTCTTTACTCATTTACAAAGTCTTGCAGTCTAAAGTCCTGCTCTCCTGTGTATCGTGATAGTAGCAGAGCAATTAGTGGGGCACGAGCATGGCTTTTGGCTTGTTTAGTCATTCGCACCATTTTACATGCAGTTTATTTAGCTGTGTCAATAATAAAAATGACCCAGGTCAGTAAAAAACAGGAACTCGGAAAAGAGGAGTTTCCAGAGCCTGCTTGCACTAGGACAGCGCTCTCCTTTCCCAGGGCCAGGCCTGGAAATTGAAGCCCAGCAGAAAAACTGGGGTCTGACAGGGCCAGCGCGCTAGTGATCTAAATCACCCAACGCACAGCGAATAAAGGTCACTCCTCGCCCTAGTCCTCGCTCTGAAGGATCCCATTCGTCTCACATGCACACCTGCTTGAACACACAACCTGACAAAATACCTGTGGTTATTGTCTCAGCGTTAACCAGTGCCTCCTGAGTGGGCAAAGCACCAGTACAGCCAGGGGGTCAAGCGAAAGGTGGTGACGTCAAATAAGACGCATCTCATTCCTACAGCAGATACAGATCTACCCTGCTCAGGCCTGCCAGGTGGTACTGCTCAGTGCCTTCAACCCTCTTGAATGGGTGGGCAGGAGATTCATTCTAAACACACGGGATGCACAGAACTACAATGCAGGGAGAACAGTCATTTAAAGAGACCGCATGTCATGCTGCTCTGTCTCCAAAGTCACAGTGGGTGGGGAGACCAGGAAAGTAGTTTCCACAGGACCAAAAACAGGCCCGAGCCACTCACTAGGAGCAAGTTTAACAACCAGTTTTCCTAAATCAGATCATTCAAGCTCGTTCTGGGGCTCCCAGTCAGTGCTCTCTGGTACGGTAGTGGAGGGCGCTGGCCCAGGAAAGGACACCGTGCACTACAGGGTACATTTCATTGACCCATGTAGCACTGCCTGGACTTGGGGGCTGCTGGTTAGCGAAGGAGGAACCAGTCACAGTTTTGGGCTGTCGGGATAATTTAACACACACATACTCCCTTAATTTGGGACACTACATTTTTTTTTTTTTAATAAAAAAAACAGATAAACCACCCAACACTTTGCAGCTCATCTCTAAAGGCAAAGCAGGAATCCAGGGTCTTTTTTCATTACCTGCAGGTTATAATCATCAAATTCCAAGTCCTAGGAGTCTGGCAGTGTCCCTTTATTATTTAACAATTCTCCTCCTCGTTGTTTGGTACAAAGTCTGTACGAGTTCACAATTTACTACAGCCTTAACAGCCAAAAGACTCCAGAAAATTCTGCCCTAAGTTGACTGTCACTGAAACTCCTAGTTCTGTCTGATATACACAGTCATCTCTGCTTGCATGTGGTGTGTATCTGACATTGGAAGAGGCTGTTTCATGTACACAAGTAGCACTAAGTCTTACCTCTGCTGGGCACCTTATTCCTACTGAATCCGGTAGCTGGCTGATGTCTGTAATGATGCGTCCCCAATTCCTGCCCCTGATTAACAGTTCCTAGCAGCGATTCTGGGTCCCCATGCCCTCCTGCATTTAAAAGCAGTGGGTTCTCATGGCCACCTTTGGTCAATGTATTTGAACTCTTAGTGTCCGGAAAGCTGTCCCTGGCACCCTCACATGCACAGTCCTCCTCCATGCTCTCCGAATGGATCAGAGCTGGCTGGTGTACATACCCATGTGGTGCCACTGCTGCAGATACCTGCTGGATACATTCTTGTGCCCTGATTTTTAAGAGATGTTGGGGGCTGTTGTGATGGTACGTGTCAGCATTCTGATAAGGCACAGACAACGACTGGCGCTCGGAGAGGTTCTGTCCCATGCTGGTGCTCATATTCCCAGCATCTCCTTGGCTCATATGCCTGAACAACTCTTGAAATTCTTGCTGCTGCTGTTGCTGCTGCTGCTGCCGCCGCTTGATGAGCTGTGCAAATTCTGCGGGGGGCAGTCGCATGTCCGTGTGCCCCGTAAGCGAGTGCCGGGGGGAAAGCAGTCCCTGGAGGATATGCGGTACCTGCTGGTGTCGGCTGTAATCTGGCGGAGTTGGGGACAGCAGTGCCTGCTGTAGTGCCGATGCCGTGTAGTGCTGCGGCTGCTGCTGATGTGCGCTTTGAGGGAAGCTAGGGAACTGGTCAAGTTGAGGGACCTTCAGGGCTTGCTGCGTTGTGGGGAATCCCACCCCTACTGATGGGCTGTAGTTGCTGGGGGATGCCCGGGCCTGATCGGAGAACAGGTGGGGATGTAAGTGCACCTGGTCATAGTTAGCAGGGGGATACCTGTTCATGTTCAAGCTGCAAGGAAGAAACGACAGTCATTGTGTTGCAGCAACCAAGAGTAAACCCATGAATGCAGAGGAGGCCGCCACCACTCAGGCACTCTGCACAACCTCCCAATCAACTCCAACAGGCTGTACATGTTCAGGGTGGTGGCTTGAGCGCCTAGCTGGAGTGGAACAGAGGGGACCCAGGTTTGCCACCCAGCACCTCTTTCTGGGAGAGCTGAAGAGACCACACACTCCACTCAGACCCTGCAGAAGAGCACATGCCCCAGGTCATCGATGACGCCGCAGGGCCAGGTAAGAAGGAATGTTTCAAGTCTCTGGAGATAGCTGGGGGAGCGTAGATGGAGAAAAGGTGCTGTTAGAGGCAGAGCCCGCCTGTCGGAGCTCTTGAAGCTAGTGTAGGCTCCAGCCAGACCAGGCACGAAGGGGAATTAGTAACGGTCTCTGTACTTCTTTATTTCTCCCCTCTTATTAAAGCACAAGCCTGTACTTGAGCAGCGACCTGCATTCCTAGAGAGAAAGCTGGCTTCCTGCCCCGCCTGGCTCAGGAGTTGTGCTGACTTCACACAATCCTCACCCCTCGGCTGTCAGACACCCATCCCACTAACAAAGCCCTGAAGTCTAAAGCCATAACGTGACCAGCGCATGGCTGCTGCTGGCAGCGAGTGCTGTGCTCAGGAGACTGTAGCCAGCCTTGGCACATGGAGCTGTGGTGGCAGAACTCTGACCGGCCCTGGTTCTTTTCTCCTCCCTTCCCCCCTCAACGCCTCCCCAGGTTAGCAGAACAGTTAGAGAATGGCCTTACCTGTGCGACTCTGCACTATCAGCACTGAGCTGCTTGGACAGTGGCCTGTGACCGTACGTGAGAGAGGCCATCAGGTTAGCTCGGTGCTGCATTTGGATCTGATTGGCACTCGGGTTGATAGACATGCCTCGTGGGTGAGGGGACATGCCCTGCCCTGCCACAGCTGCCCCTTGCAGAAGGTTGTTGCTGAGCATATCTCCGGGCTCTTGCACTTGGATGGTGACCGGCTGCGGTTGCTGCGCCATGCCCATGCATGTCAGTGCCACGTTCGGGGGAGGGGAACAGTTACCAGACTGCTGGAAGATCGCACTGTGGGAAGGCATCCCTTGGAACTGGGACTGAGAGGCCGCACCTACGAAGAACAATCCCTTTGAGTAACTGCACTGAGCTGCTGCAAGGCTTGAGAGCACGTTCTGTTTAACAGATACAGCGTCTGATGCGATCAGGGCCAAAGGTAAGATTTTCAGAACCAAGCTGCATTTCAGTGGGTGATGAGGCGTGCGCCTTTCCTGACTATTCAAAGCTAAAGTTTCATCGTACTACAGCCACAGCTAGAAATACTTGCAAGGTAAAAGAAACAATACCAATATAAAGTTATTTGCATAATCAAAGAATAATATCCCTCCTCCCCGCCCCCAGAGATTATAAGCAAGGACCTCATGACACGTAACAACATATTCCAGCTGGCAAGATCCACTGCAAGTACTGCGATAACACCAGCCCCTTGTGCCAGATGGAGACTCGTTTACATCGGCTATCTGCGCCAGGCACTAGAATTTGGAGAAGACATGAACTGTTTTCCCAAGTGCTTTATAAAACCGTAAGGTTCTGACAAGCGGCCTGCACAATAGGAGGACAGATGGCTTGGTCCACTCAGTGCTTACCATGAGTCTGTAGCATGCTGCTATTCACAGGAGGGGGGCTGCTATTTGGCTGCCTGAAGAGATGATTATTAGGGTGGTTTGGGGGTGGACTAGATGGCTGAATCCGTAACCTACACAAGAAAATAAGCATCTTCGTAAATTGCTCTTCCTGATAAAGACGCTTGTTCAACTTTTAGAACTGAACTCTAAGTGCTTTTAAAAAAAAAACAAATAATATAAAAAACTCCTTTAGAATCTTAAAGGCTTTGAAACATAATTTCTATTTTATCTTCATTAGCTAGCTGGATAAGGGAGTATGGCTCAGTGGTTAGAGCACAAGTCAGGAATCCTGAGTTCTATTCCTGACTCACCATGACCTAGGGCAAGGCTCTCCCACTCTGCCTCAGTCTTCCTCATCTGTAAAATGGGATGATATTTGCTAGCCAACAGAGGGACTGGGGGGGAGGAGGAGGAAGGGTCTAAAGAGTGTTTGTAAATGGCTTGGCATTCAAGGTGCTAGAGAAAGCGTTCATACTATTATTGAAACTCATTTGTTTTCAAGCTGGCCAACAAGCAGCAGTTCCATGTCAATTTAAAACAATGTTATGCCATCAGGTTACTTTCAAGGTTCTCTTGGACAGAAATGTTAAGAGCCTGATTGCCAGAGACTTGCTCCTACAGCTCCAGCTGCAGCCTGCACGTGCTTCTAGGAATGAGGCCCAGTTCTCTAAGGTTATATGCTCCCAGCTGGCTCTGGGACAGGCCTGAGTGCATCACTGAGTGACAGCTCCACCCCTTCACCCCCGCACTTTACCAAAGCAAACCCCTTTCTTTACCTCTGCAGCTGGTGGGTGAGCAAAGCTGGCTGGTTTTCACAAGGAGCTTGCAAGGGTGGAGATGGCTGAGGTGGGCGAATACAATCCTGAGCCAGGCACCAGAAAGAAGGGGAACAAAAAGTATTTGCCATTAGTCAGTTCCATCTTGATTGAGAGAGTTTGGACCAATAAATTAATCAACCTGAGACAGAAGCTGTCGCTATCCTACCAGCTGTGCATGCATTGCTTTTGAAAAGCCTTCCCCCTTGTTCCTCATTACAGCAGGTGGAGCAATCTAACTTGCCACATATACAGAAGTTTTCCTCCCTAGTCCCATGGGGCCATTCAACACCTCTACTGCAGGAAAACCTGGCTAGGATTCAGAGATCATGGTCCCGGTTCCAGTACCTGAATCTGCTGATGGAGAATTTGATGATGCTGCTCCTGCTGGTACAACATGTGCTGCTGCTGTGTCTTCTCCAGGGTTCTCTCGTCCATATGCCCACCGTACATCTTCTGTAGTTGCTCACACTCCTGTAATGAATTCAATACACCCACAACATGATCTCTTCCTGCACAGCAACCCTGCTGCGCAAAAAAGGCTTTCACTCTGCAGTCTCCTTGGCAGAAAGAGCCAGAGAAAAAGAAAAAACTGCAGGACAGAAATCCTAATCCATGTAGTTAGCAGCATGTGTGCGCATAATACCAGGGTCATCGCAGCTCTCTCATACAGTGGGAAAGAAATAGATGCTCATGGAACTAAACTCCTGGGCTATTTAGTCTCCTTACACTGCAATTGCAAGGAGTGCAAGTGAAAAGCATCAGACATGAAAATCCCAAGATTAAATTAGCATCTCGTGCTCCTGCTGTGCTGCACAGGGAAATTCCTCTCTTAGGGCCCAATCCAACTCCAACTGAAATCAACGACAAGACTCCCCCGGAGGTCAAAGAGAGGACTATGCAATTTATGCCATAGCAGAGCAAAATGGCCTTTCAATGACCGCTACGGCATGCGATGGGACTCCACTGCCATTAAACACTGGTGAAGGCACCAGTGGCTTTTAGCAGCCATGGCTAAGAGGATTTTCAAGAGTGTTCTTCAGTCTGGTTACTCTGTGCAACACCACGGATTGTTATTCAAACCAATCAAACAAGCAGGCCAGGGCCAAGAACCAACCATTTCAACTTTGAAATGGGATTCTGGGGACTGGTTTCATTGCGTGCGAGTCTTGGGAAGAAACTCAATGACAGTTTCTAGGGAGCACAGGTATCAGGGCCCACGTTCCTCACTTGAGCCTGACTTCTCGGACCTTACATGTGTTTCTACAGTGATATGTCAAGTCCCCAGAAAAGGGGAAGCCCCCAAGGTCCCCAGGCTGCAGCTGAGATGAAGAGGAGGATGGCAATTCTACAAAGCACACTCAAATACCCAGAAGAAGGGAGAGGATATGCTCCCCAGCTGCAGCTCTGAAGAATGTTTAGATCCAGGAGACAAAGCAGTAGGAAAGGTTTCCTCTACCAGTAAGTCAGTGACCTAAGCTAATTCATTGCATCCCTCTTCCTTCCTTTACCTGCTGAAGCTGTTTGATGCTGCTGTTATTGCCCATTTTCTCCAGGTGGGCTTTGAACGCCTGGATGCTGGCAGCACCGTCAGAAAAGCGGCGAACCGGGGAGAAGCGCTCAGTGGGGAGGTGCAGGGTGTTTGAGTCCTTGTAAACAGAGCTGAACACATGGGGAAGTGGGTTAGTGAGGCCAGCTGAAAAACAAACTCAGCTACAGCGACATTTCATTTACATCAGCTCTGCCAAGTTCTGCCTGCCCAGAAGTTCTGTTTCTGGGTGAGAAGTAAAGTGCCATTAGTTTATTCATCACCCGCATGGTACAGGGTTAGCAAGTCCATTTTGTGCTAGGGTAGGTACATTTTCTCTAAGATTTTGTCAGTCTGATTTATATCCTAACTAGATTATAACAGGGGCGGGCACCAGTCTGTAACTGGCCATACGACTTGGCCTGGCACTTGGTTCCACCGACCTGCAGAAACCATTCAACTGCTAAGAACTGAAAGGCGTTTCTCCATCTGAGAGCCTTTTTCATTCACCGTACTTCGGAGTTTACACAGTGACATTTTTGCTAAGCTGGAGCATTCCTATATTCCAGTGGGATGGGAATACTTTGTGCTATGAAAAATTGTTGCATGTTCATCTATCTGAATTGGGGAAGTAGGAGCCAGTCAGGAGTGCTGCTGCCTTCGACGAGGTGATTCTGCTGCTGAGAACAGTTGTCTCTCTATGGCAAGGCCTGGTCGCTAAAAGGAGACCCTAACAAGCACAGCTGGAGCTTGCCTGCTCAGTCTAATTCTAAAATACAGTCGGCCAGCACCTTAGGAATTCTAATTTAAACAAGCCCGGGAGCAGGACCAGCATAACCACCTCCCCCCGAGTCCTACCCCAGACGCTTTACTTGCAGGTACACCTAGAGAGAGACGTCACTGAGAGAAGAGCAATCCACGGGATTTCCAGGAAAGGAGGAAAACTGGAAAATACTCATTTGTGCATCAAAAGGGGCACCAGTAACCCTGACATCTGTGGGGAATGGAGGCTTCCCATTCGAATGCCAATAAAGCTTAGACCACCACCTAGCAGTAAGACCTGCCCTCTCTCAGCACACACACAGGCTTCCAGGATCTTCCATTTCCTAGACGACACATGCTGGTGAACCCATCAGACTGGTTTATTCCAAGCACTAACACACATCAGGCCTTGAAGATGAGGGAGTTTTAATCTGAACATGTTCTGCCAAATGTTGCATCTCATGTGACTACAGAGGGATGGACCTGGAGCGGGGGGGGGGGGGGGGAATGTCAAACAAGGAAGCTGCACTTGTAGGGGGCCCTCAAGACAAAACCAATAATGGCAAAACAAAAGTTTTAGAAACATTTCTAAGTCTCCAGTACGTGCAGATAAAAACAGCCGTGTCACAGCACCAGTGGATGGGGGTGGATAAGATTCACACCCCAAGGGTAGGAAAGACGCTGCTGACTACAAGAGCTGTCAGGTCTATCCTGCAGCCACTCAGACAGAGGAGAGGCTGGCATCCACGTTCAGAGAGGCACTAAACCCATTGTGGGGGGGGATGTGATGACTTTGTTTCCAGGAACAAACTTCCCTTTCAATCTGGGTTCCCATATATGAGTCAAACCCAAGCACACTCATCCTCAAGACTACATCTTTAAGAGTATTACAAAGCACTGCTCTCTCTCCACCCACAAAGCAAACACTAACACATGAGGACCCAGTTAGTTTTCTGCCCAGATGGGTTTAGCTTTGTACCAATTCATTCCATACAGAAAACGAGTGGACAACAATTTGGCTGCAGCAATGGTCTTTGTCTGTGAAAGGCCCTTAGGGAACAAGTCTTTAGAGCATTCCTGCTGATGGTTTGGTTGTAAAACAAACAGAAGATAATCGAGCTCCATATAGTAGTGCTTCAAACTGAATTACGTTAGACAGACAAATTGGTACTTTAAATATTTGAGGTATGCACAGAGTTCTCTGCTGAAGCCTGCTCTGAAAGACCAAACGGAATCTCCGCGGGAGACGCTACCCCTAGCAGGAGGAAAATTCTCATTCATGTTGTAACATTTCCAGGACGTCAGTTCCAGTTATTTTCACATATTCAGCCCTGCTTGGTAAAATGTATTTTAATTCATTACAATTTTAGATATGTTCCAGCTAAGGTTAGAGCTGGCTGGCTGTCACGTTCCCTTTCTGCCAGTCAGCAAGCCAAATCTGTCCGTCTGACCTTCCAACTCGGTAACGGGCAGCAGCAGCAAGCGAGGAACGTGAGCATTGTGCATCAGGTTCCCAAGCATGGTAGGGCGATGCACAGTAACGCTGCCCCTGGCTCTCCAGACTGGCTTTCTAGACTAACAATTGTTGAGACCTTTTTAAGTACAAACCAGTTTCAAACAGACTAAGTTAAACACCAGAATAAAAGCTGACAGCTGTTCAATAGCCAGTACTTTGTGGCTTTCTGCAGGTCTGTAGTCCCACAGGCTTACAGGCCTCTGCTGTGACATGTAAAATGCTCATCATTGTGAATCTGGAATGAGCCAATGCTCTCCTGTGCATGTGCAAACAGAGGAGCAGACACATGATGAGAGCTGAGAGCCAGTGGGGGCTGGGTAGGCTCATTCTAAAGAGCCTTACAACAATCTCTCAATGGCTTCATTTAAACCTCCATTCTGAAGTGACCCTGGAAGCAGGACATACATTATTTTCTGTTTATTTACTTTGCAACTGTTTTTCTTCTCTTCCTATAAAGCACTCGGTGACCCAAGAAATCTTACTCCTCCTCTCCTGCCTCCCTACAAGTTTTTCTACCCAGGAGTAACTCAGGGTTTATCTTTTGTCTTCCAGAGTTCCAGCGTGGCACCAATGCCGACTCAGTCTGCTCAGAGTTCACCTGATTACACCAGCGCTCGGCTCAGCAGGTATCTGGCTACAATAAAGAGTGCTTTCACAAGCTTGTCAGTGTGAGCTGGCTAGAGGATTTAACATGAGCACAAATCTGGTCTTCTCGGTAACTACTTTCTCAATTGTTCAGCAACTGAAATCAAAGAAATGAGCATGACAGTTTACACTTGTTACACCCTCTGCTTTGGGGTCGGGGTGCAGTTTTTAAGCTGTGTCTGTGGCAGTAGGGTCTCCAATTTGCTGCAGCATCAAAGGACTCTGTAGAAATAATAGTTCTCAAAGTCAGGAGGGCCCTTCCTCCAGAATTTTAGCTCACTTGGATCCAGTTTTGCAGCAGTTCCCTCAGTCACAAAAGTTATAATTGTTCTCCCGGAGATTAGAAACAACAAGACAAACAGGGAGCTTTGCACGGAGACTCTGCAGTGGAAACACACAACTCTGGTGCAGTGAGGTATCGAAACCTACGGATAGTTTACTCATGGTGCAGCCTTTCATACAGCATTCCACTACTGAATAGTCCATAGCAGATTTACTACTCACTACAGGGTTGAGCCTTCTAGTACATTAACAAAGCTTTCCACTAAACTGGATCGTTTAATCTTAATCCCAGCCCCGGGGCAAAGGCAGCCATCCTGGCAAATCATCTCCAGCCACAGAAGTGGGACTGGAGGGGAAGAGCCAACTGATCCCTGCCCGTGAGTGCACCATGCATTTAGCAGGTGAGGAGCCAATATCTGCTCAAAAATGAAGCATGTCCAACAGGGCCAGCCAGCTTCTGCTTTGGGGGTCTGCGGCTTTCTTCTTTTAACCCCTTTATGCCAAGCTGGATTTTTTCTGCACTCCATTCAGACGACATCTGAGCGGGTTCCCTGGCACAGAGCTGCCCGAACGGCCGGTGCCATTACTCACCGGTGCTGATCGGGTACCAGGTGTGGAGCCCAAGCCCGGGATCGAAAAGACTGCTGTCCTAGCTGCCTCTGCAAGTCTGGAGGGATTTCAGCTGTAGGGTTGGTCATTGCCAGAGTGTGCCTTTTTGACCTATTTGCCAAGTATCTGCAACAAGCAGGAGCATATTTTATAAATGGAAGAGACTGACGGGAATACTCCAAAAGAAGGGAGCAGAAGCAGATAATCCAGAGTAATTAGGAAAGAAAAATGCTCGCTGCAGTGCTCAGAGCCTGCTGTGAGTTGTAGAACACCCATGAAAGAGCAAACCGTACTGCCAATGTCTGTCAGATTAAAGGGATGTTAACTGCTTAGTGGAGGACTGAAGTCATAGCCAGCTTTATTCCAATGCCAACCTTGGTAAGAAACAGAATGACCATTCATCATCTCAGGAGAACAGACCTACTTCATCTCATGGGGAATTCTCAAGCACATTCATTTAGATCTAGTGACTAGTTAGTTTCTGTAGGGATTCTTTCTCCTAAAGTGGTGCTAGTCTGAAGGGTAATAGCACTGTCTGCCTTACATCATATGCACTATGCCCATGGGACTGTTTGCGTGAGTAATGCTTACAGCTCGGCACTGTGCAGACAGACGCTGTGCACGTTTCCCTGCGTGGCTCAGCCTGCGCACTTCAATCCTCACCTGCAACGTGCTCAGTCTGGAGTCTGAGCAGAGATCAGCACGCTGAATGGTCCCACATCAGATGATGGCATTTACGACATCGCTACCACCGCTGGAGATTAGGCTGCCCTTTGCACTGTGTGTGTGATCTAACCTGGATCTGAACGTAGGTTCAGAGAGAGGAACAGCGTGTGTGTAAAGTGCGCCATCTAGTCCCCACTCTTGGACACTTCGAGCAGAGCCTGGGAATCAGTGTATGGAGGCTGCACCAATGATGCCTAAAGCAAAAAGGGCAAGGGACAGTGAGGAGCTAATTCAGCCCATTCCCTTCCTGGAGCAGCAGCCCTCTGAGAGCTTCCACCTTCGGCTGTAGACAAGTTCAGGGCTGGGGTTTGGGGATTTTTAGCCCTATTGTTCCCTTTGTGTTTTTGTTGGATGCTAAGGCAGGAAGGGCCTGATTCAGTGAGATGGCAAAGGGTTCAGCTATCCTCGGATATTCTTCGCTCTTGGGCAAGCACCAGGACAGCTCTCTCAGGTGCTAGCAATGGTGGAAACACTGACAAGGTTTGAGGACAGAGTGGAATCAATGCCTGTACCTGGACTAACCCTCCCAGCATTGCTAACTCAGGTGAAGCTGCATTGGTGATGAGTTATGGCTACAAAGATTCCCGGCCCCCACAAAGCCAGAGGGTAAAATGGGGGTTACAAATACTTCCATTTGATTTCTTTTTAATGTCTGTAACTAAAACCTGTACAGTAGGGGAAACAGCGGCACTTAAAACTATGGCTCTGCAAAAAGCATTATCCATTGACACAAAAAGCAGCCAGTTAACAGAATGACGAGTACTTAGTGGTGTGGTGACTTGCCAAAATCTGAGCCATTAAATGTTTGAGATCCATTAGATGGAGACAGGGAGAGTTTCCCAAAGAGCTTCACAATTGTGGTTTGCTACAATCACTTTATTTCATGGCTCCAGGGAACAATCCAATCATGAACTGCAAGTGTTTGGCTGAAAAAAAAAGTTTTGCAAGCTCCGAAGAGATGTGATTGTGCCCTGGGCACGGGGAATGGAATGCACACTATTTCAAGGTCAGGCAACCTAAAGCAAACAAGGGCAAAAGTTGCTCTGCGGTCATTGCAGAGGGCATTCAAACCAGTGTTCTGAAAAGATAAATATTAGCTCCTGTCCCTGGTGTTAATCCTGTTTACTCTTCTGCTGGTGATTAGTGGCATGTCACAGCATAAGAGGGTGGGGAGATGGAGGGTTAATGTGCACCCATTAAGCACAGTTGAAGCCTGGTCCCGTCCAGCGGCTATGGAGAATGTGGCATAAGCACACACAAGAAGGATTTGGGGGTAATAGTTTCAAAAGTAGCTAAGCCCCATTTTCAAAGGTGACTTAGGTACCTCAGAAACTGCATCCCATGGACTTACAGTGAGACTTAGGTTCCTAAGTCCTGCACACATTTTTGGAAGTTTTACCCTTGGTCTCAAAACCTTACCTGCCAAGCCTGACTCTTGGAACCTTAAAGGATTCGGCTGAAAGCAGAGATTTTAAAATGTGGGCACTCTAAGCTTGGCCAGATGAGGACACATTGGCAATTTGCCAAGAGCCGCAGGGCTGCATCTTATTTGCCCCAAATGGAAAAGGCTGCAGGTATGTTCAGCTTTACAGTCTGAAGCAGTGGCCCATGGAGACTGCAGGTCCCAGCTTGCAACTTCTGCACAGATCTGAGCAGCGCCGTCACTGGAGAGTTCTGACGCCAAGAGACAATGTTCAGTATCGACTGAGGGCAAGACTTTGGTCACGACAGAGCATGGCATGCTGGGGCCTGCAGTGTCTGCGGGCCATGCCTCCATAATAAAGATGAGAATGACCATGGGTGGGACTGTATAGCTTCTTGGGCCACACTTTGGCTACCCAGAATGTGTAGACTCCTAGCCACTGGAAGCATAGAGCATTTTTTAATGTGTACCATGTTTGGCTGTTTTCTAAGGTCAAGTAGCCAAGGGAATCTTGGCACATGCCCTGGACAAGCCACTGTTGTACCCAAGTGTTCATCGCCATTAGAACCCTTCTGTTTTACAGCACTGAGACCAGTGGAGTTTACAAGGGATCTAGGAATATTATAGGGAATTAAATGGCTTTAGCAGCAACTCCCTCACTTCTATACCTGCCTGCTGCCCACCCGGCAGCTATTTGCATCCTTCTTGGAAGGACAATATCCATAAAAGTTGAGAAAGAGCCTGTTCTCGCCAAGGTCCTGCCCACCAGAACTGGGGAGAATCCATGGAACTTAATAAGGAGGATCATCTGCACCAGTTGCTTAGCAGAAAAACTAGCTAAACAAAAGCTACACTGGAAGTATTAGCAAGGACAGTGTTAGTGTTTTCGGTACATACTTTGGCTGGGGAGAGAAGTGAAGTTTCGGAGTCGATATTGGACCACCTCTCACATGTCGGAGCAGACTGTTTCAGGACCTACTGCTATGGCTAGAAGTCTAAATGACTACAGATACCCAAGTTTTTATCAAACTCACTTCAAGGCATCAGAGTTGGATGTTTACTGCAGGTCTTGGTCCAAAAGCTGCACAGATAAAATGAGACCACTTCCCCAGTCACTCAGCAGGGATGAGGGAGGGTGCAGTGTCTTAGCACTAACTATGCAGGTTAGTTTGCTTTGCATGCTGACACACCCTCAGCAAGGGAGTTTAGTGCTCAGAGAGATTCTGGATACCCTATTGTTCAAATAGCCTGCAGAATTTCAGGTGATGTCAGGTTGTTTTACTGAGTTATTCATTTGCCTGTTAGCGTCAGGTAGAGTAATTGCCTGGTGTAAACAGGCACCCATAAAGGAAAAGTTGAAACCTTCACCATAATCAACACCTGCAGCTTGGGATGAGGTTGATTAGTTGGGTTTTTTATAAATCAGCTTTAGGGCACCACAGGGTGAGCCTCTCCAGCAGCACAAGGGGAAAGGCCAACGGATGGGATGTTACCTCTGCACAGCTTCCTGATCCGGCTCCCCATCGGAGCTCTCCTCATCCACAGGGGTAACTGCTGGCACGGCCTGAGGAGAGAGGAAAGGGGAACCATGGGCTCCAGAAGGTGGCTTATTCAACACTATCTTGGGCTGCAGAAACCTGACTTTCTGGAAGAACATTTAAGTACCAGACATTTGGGGGCACTCAGAAACCTCCTCCAAAACACACCCTCACCATCGCACCCTTACATAGTGCAACCTATATAGGGGCAGCTTCTTGTGGTGCTAGCAGGAAATTCAGTAATACACATAACTCCAGGGGGAAGCACTGCCGACATTAACACCGGCAGATTTTCCTTTCTCTCATCAAATAAAGCAAGAGAGTTGCAAAGCAACCTTAGCAAGAGAGTTACAAACATCATGCTCCTCTCAGCACTTCTGAAGAGGAGAAATATTTCAATTACTACTACTAAATGAGAAATAAAAGGCCCATTCAGCATCAGCAAGTGACATTTCTCACAGCAGCAAGGTGACTGGCCTCTAGTGCTAGCAATTTTGTGCAGGTCATTAAGGGAAGGAGGAAGATACTCAACTGGACAGTGAAAATAACATTCATCTTTGAAAACATACAGCTATGCACCAGACACAGACACTTCCAATGGGAAGGAGACAATCAAATAGGGGGCTGGCTTGAGGAACATGTGTGCCCCCAACGGTCAGCACTACTCAGATAGGGGCTATAGCCAGACAGCCAGGCATGCCAATTCCAAAGGCGGGGCTCCCTGGCAGCGGTGTCACGAAGGAGGAGACCAAAAGCCAGACACTAAGCAAGCAGCAATGTCGAAGGATCTTGTGAGACAGGGAAGGGCTGCCGGGAAAGGAGAGGCGCTTGTGATGCACATGGTAACTGAAGGGCCAAAGCAGTTTAAGTGCCAGGAGCACAGGCATCGTGGGAGAGGGAGGCTACCAGCCCTTCTATACACTGCATTGAGGAGACGAGGCCAGTCACAGCATGGCCAGGAACTTGCTGATACTGGCAGTGAAGCCACCGTCTGTTTTAAAAGGATCCTTTGAATGCCGCTTCACCCTTTGCCTCTGGAGAGCAGGTAGGTAGAGAGGGCCAAGGGAAAGAGTGAGGAAACCCTCCCAAAAGGGAACATTATTGTAGGATGAACGTCCCTGAGGAAGGAAAGCAAAAGCAAATGGCAGGTGGCGAGTCCCTGCCAACGTTGGGAATCTGGCATTTCATTCCCTGTCCGCCCCCGCAGTTCTTTCGCACACGCCACTCCTCCCCGCTGCTTTCACTGCCAGCAAGAGGACAGGTTTGTAAACACGCCACCAACTCTGTTCTTCCTTTGCTACTTACTGGCGTCATAGTGACGAGTGGGGAAGGGCCTCGAGGACGCTTCAGCAGTTGTTGTGCGTGCAGCTGGATGTTGGCTCCACCGTCTGAAGCCCGCCGCCCCAGAGGGCCCATTCCATTCAACAACTGCAGAGTGGGGGGCTGCAGTAAGGACTGCTCCTAGGAAGAACACAGGGGAGTTATCACAGAATACTACTCCTCTAGTGCCTCCCGATGGAGGATCTCAGAACACTGTATAAATACCAAGGAAACAGCCTCACTGGCCTTGGGTGAGGGGAAGGATCTTCAACACCTTACTCCTGGGGAAACTGAGGCACAGAGTGGTGGAATGACCTGCCTGAACTCGGTCAGTGGCAGAGCTGGGAGTAGAACCCAGATCTTCCAACTTCCAGCCCTGAGTTTCAGCCACAAGGCAGGCTGGGCCTCTGGGTTTCACACACTTGGAAGCCAAGGACCACGGCGGGATCTGTTACTAAAATCACTGATCTCCCGTCCCCATCAAACGAGTTTCTGAATTTCAAATTGTGGGGTGTGTGTTTGTACTCAGAATGACACGAGGGACAATCCCAGGCGGTAAGCGACATCCAATAGAACTAAGGTCCAGGCTCAGCGATTAAATCCATCATGAAACCTATGGAGCAGACTCGGGGCGTCTCCAAGAGCACCAGCCTGTATCTCTGCGAGGCACTGGCTGCAGTTGTGGGGAACATACATAGCAGTCGGTACCTTGTACTCCAGCTGGCCAGTCGGCTGCAGGTTCTGCATAGGCAGCATATTGTGCATGAAGTTCATGTTTGGAGTCACCTGCAGGAACGGTGCCTGGGGAGTGACACGAGGGAAGCCTGGCAGGAGCTTCTGGAGATCTTCCATCACTTCCGTGCTGCGCAATCACATTCAGAAACATGGGCCTTAGCAATAACCCGAGCAAACCAACCTATATGCTTGCTACCGTCAGCTCTACTTCCCGCTGGCTTTCCCCGTGGATTTCTCCAGCTCAGGAGTGGGGCCTGCACCTTCAATGTAGCCAGTTCTTCCCTTAGGTTCTCAGAATTGGGATTTTCCAGCGCTAACCATTCACGTAAAATACAATTGCACTTGGCATCAGGACAGTCTCTAGACACTAAGACATTAAAAATAAAGTGGCTCATAGCTTTCCGACCTCCTTTGCCTCCCTGGCCAACACGGCCCCCAATTAAACAAAGCTAGCCAGAAATAGCAACTGATTCATTGGGGTAAGGAGGAAATTGTGTCCCTGCCTGAGAGGCCTGCCAAACAGGTCACTGGGAAAATGGATTTTTCAAGTGAAAAGACATGGATTTCTGCTATTCAAGTGGCACCCGATTCCCTTCCCCACCCAGCCAAGATCATGCTTTCAAGCAAGAATCCCACCCTGCCATTCCATTCACCGCAGAGCTAGATATGCCAGGAGCAGGAAAGCAAAGGGATTTCACTCCTAGATATTGAAGGGAGGGGGTTTTGACGTGTGTTTTTCCCATTAAGATATGAATCCATCATTTTAGCAGATTATATAAAACCTCTGACCTTTCAACAGGAGCAACCCAAAGGTGTAAGAGCTTCTTACAACCTCCAAATCAAAGCACTGTACCGTACCCAGGTGCCTCCAAGAGGCCATTAAAAGCCAGAGAAACATCATCCATGAATTCATAGAGAATGCCATGGGGGTGGAGAGGGACCCTTAAAAAGGCAGGAGTGGGTTCCTTTGCTCCCACGCAGGAGAAAGAGCCTGATACTAACCGTGGGTCTGCAACTCCAACAGTGTGCCTTCTCATTGAGAGATAGCGGACCAGGGCTTCAGGGGATGGCTCTTCCCCTTCGTCACTGTCCAAGTTCATTGTTCCATCAGTCTAGGATGGGGAAAAATACAAGAGGTTTTGAAATCAGGTGCCAGAAGCCCAGCGTGTCACTAAGAAAGGGTGCTCACAGGAGTCAGCAATGGAAAGCAACTTGCCTCTATGATCTGGTTCTCAGGGTTGATGAGCTGGACTTGTGGCACATTGATACTCACGGGGTTGCCTGCCTGTTCCGCCTGCAAAGCAGAAGGAATCAAAACCATGAACTGGGGGGTTTCTTTTCCATTTTAAAGCCTGCAGCAAAGTCCTTCAGGTTGTGACTCTTCCTACTGGTCAGCCACTAACAGCCCAGGTAGCCCAGTGCTCTTCACGGGGGGATCGCCTTCTTCCAAACACATTAGCCACTTGCAGAAGGGATCCCAACTCCACGTTCAACTACATCTTCCTCCACCTCTCCCACCCATGCTCCCTTCTCAGACTCCTGCTACTGAAACTCAGTTGCATTCCCAGATGCTGCACAGCAGAAATTGGAGCATTTTCATGAAAAGCAAAACAGGGTTAGGCTCCAGCAGCACGTTGGTACAGCCACTTGGGGATGAGGGGGGAGATCCAGGAGCCAGTTCTAAACTGTTCTTTTCAGCCCACCCCCAGGAGCTCCTCTCTCTACTCCCTGCATCTCGACTCCGCAGCTTGTGCGCCCCTTCTCACAGCCTGACCTCTGTTAAAGCAAAAGTCTGCTCCTCAGCAGCTCCTGCTGCCAATGGAAACAGCTTCCTCACACCAATCCCAGGTCACGGACTCTGCGCTGCTTAACCCAGAACATCCCCCTCTCCGCCCTTTGGCTGTACGGACGTCTGCCACTGCATTACAAGGTAACTAGGTACAGTGGGGTGGGGCAGGCTTTGGATGAAAGACACTAGACTGAATTAAGTTGCAGTCTCATGGCCAGAAAGTTGCAAACCGCAAGAGTACAGTAACATTGACACACACGAAAACCTACCACTCAGGCAAAGACTTTTCTCATCTCTCCTTACCAGGGTGAGGACGTTCACGAAGGAACTCAAGTTATTTTACTTACCCAGCTAAACAAACAAGCTCTGACCAAGTTGAGCTTTGTAAAGCTGGGGGAAGTAATGACTAACCCTGCAGCGATGAAACGACCCCATCTATGTGGAACCCACCTGGATGTTAGCTGGTGTGGGGAAGGCCATGGTCCGTGGCACACTGGGAGGTGCTGTAATGCGCAGATTCTTGTGTCTCTTTAATCGGTCGCACAGCAGGCTATAGATTGCACTGTAGTGATCATAGGCATCTGTCCTTAGTGACTAGCAAGGGAAGGATAAGAAGAGATCAATTTTTTTGTTCTAGTAATGAAAATAAATCCCCTCCCCGCCCAGACCCACTCTGCAGAAGAAAGTGTTAATTGGCAGGTGTGATCAGCCACCAACATGACATTTACCAGCTGCAGGCGACAGCCCAGTAACAGAGGCACTTGCAAGCTGGTTGGAGTTACCTGTAGCGTGCGCTCTTTGTCCAGCCCCATCTCCACCATTGCTAAGAGCACGTCTTCATTCAGTGGTTCCATCTGCCTTTCAATCTTCAGGTGCTGACATTCTGCTATTAACTGCAAGGGCACAGAAAGATGGTCAGTGCTCAGCACCCCAGGGGCGGCAAATGTTCACTAGGTGGAGCACACCATTAACCACCAGTGCCACAAGCCTACAGCTGGAGCGCCCGCGACCCACGCTGCAGCTCGGCACAGTATCTAAACACTGAGGGTACAGTGGCCTGCCTGGGCAAAGCAGGAGCAGAAACAGCATCTCACTTCACACTAGCATGTGATCTTGGGGGCCAGCTATGTCCCATAGCCAATGTGACTGGAACCAGGATCCCAGTGGCCTGGAGATACTGAGACGAAGAGAAAGATGTAAGATGATGAACGATCTAGAGCCCAAGAGAGGAGAGGGCACTAAGACAAGGACGACAGCGAGTAAGCTGCATGGCCCAGGGGGGAGAAAGAAATACCAGCATACTTGCACTTGGGAATTGTGAACTCTTAACACAGGACATTCATTTGGTTTTGAGCCGCTCTAATGGTCTCCAATGTGCACACAGGGCCAGTACTCAGCCCTCCTCCCTAAAGCGCGCCTACTGGACTCCTCACACCCTTTCTGCCTGCTCACCCTGTCAAACTCTGCATCAGCTTCCCCAAGCTTCATCCACTTGTGTTTGCAGATCTGTTCCATTGACAGTCGCTTACTTGGGTCCAGCACCAGCATGTGGCGGATCAAGTGCTCACATTCTGCAAGAGAGCAACAAGAAAATGAGTAATTCAGTAGCAAAGGGCAACACCTCCCCAAGGACACAGCTTTACACTGTGTCGGGAACAAGGGTAGATTTTCAAAGTAACAAACACACTACTCCGTCTACAGGGTCATTGACAAACATGCCTTGTGTCAGGCCTGATTCAGTCTTGGACACAAGTGTGGGATTAAATTCCAGACATTTGTTGTCTGAGTTCAGCATCTACAAGGACTAGGCACACGCTCCGCCCAAAGCAAAATTAAAACAAGATCTCCAGCTCAGCATAGTTAAAGGGACCCCATATGCGGCACTGTGCAACAATAGCCCTCAGCTGACCAGAAGTTAGTGACTGCAAGAGGTTTTGCAAGGCACAAGGGCAGGAAGACCCCAACTCCCAAGGGTCATCAATGGCTTCTGCCACTCAAGAGCATTGGTTTTCTTTTCCTTAGGGTGATGTGCAAGACAATGTTGGTGCAGACCCTGGGTTAGTACAGCAAAAATCAACTTTCGAAGTCTGTGGTAACATTTTCATTGGATTTCGGTTTTGCAGAAGCTTGCTTTGAAAGCATTGATATTTGGGGCCAAATCTGTCGGTCTGTAGATCTTTAGACCTGAAGAGCTCTGTGTAAGCGCAAAAGCTTGTGTCTCTCACTAACAAACAGTTGGTCCAATTATCTCACCACCTTGTCTCTCAAATATCCTGAGACCACCCGGCTACACCACCACTGCATATATACCTTTAATTCAGTATACTTCCCCCCTATAAACCACCCAATACCAAAGTCCAGTTTTTGAATGAAATACGAACTCACTCTTTCATCCAACAAGCAACCATCAGAATCAACCCTGTGATGTTTGTTACAGCCTGTAGGTGGCACACGTCTACTCTCCACCTACTTGTTTACTCTGGCAATGCAATACGGCCCATATTTCAGGGTTGAAGGGCAAACCACAATCACCATCTAACAGGCTGCCAAGGCAGGATTACCAAATGCAGGCTTAATGCAGGAAAACACATTTCCCCAACTTCCTTACAATAACAAGCACCACCACCACACCTGACCTAAGCTTACACCATGTAAACTGATGACAAGTTCAACCTGAAGCCAGAGAAAGTGTCTTATTTTCAAATTAAATTTTCCATTAAAGCATGCTATAAAATATGAGCTGGAGTCTCCCCCAATAAAGATGGAGGCTTGTCTGTAGATAACAAATTATACATTTTCATGAACATTATTTTTCCTATTTACAACACAAGAATCTCTTTAAAAAAAACAACGAACACAGTATAAAATTAAGATGCAAATTCACAGTGCAGATGTTTTAAAAAAAAAACTATCAAACTGGTTCAATAAATTAAGCGGCAATTTAGATGTAAAGGAATAAAACACAAGTTGTTCCTTTCACATCAGGCCTAGCCATAAGCTGCTTAGTTTTCAAATACTGAATCTTTCTTATCTCAGCCATTAAAAATGCCCAAGCACCACACTGAATTCCCCTTGTGCAGCCACTGCCAACTGCAGCAGCTACCGCTCACACCACTTATCTAGCTCGCACATTATGCCAGCTGAGCCTTCAGAGCAAGAAAAACCTCAATGTATTTCAGTGAAAGAAGATACACAGGGATCATTTTCAATGGAGAATGCAAGGCACAGCCCTTCGACAGCAGAAGTATGAAGTTATGAATGAATCCGGGGGTGGAAGGGCGTGGTGTTACTGTGTCTCATCCCTAAGTGAGGAGCATTGTGGCTGTCCCAGAGGTTGGACCGATCTAGGAGTGCTTTAGATGCTCTACACATTTTAGTACAACATTTCTGCCTCAGTGGAAGTATTCAATTTCTTTCACTGAAGTCTCAAGGACTCAGGATGGAAGCATAGCAGTTTACAGCTAAGCCAAGTGACTGCACATCACAGGGCACGTACAGGGCAAGGAGTGATCAGCACATCAGGAGATAAGGTGGGTTTTCATGTGGCTGATGCATGCCAGTTGTCACATGGTACCCAAACCAGTTTGCCTAGGGGTCTGTTCCCAAGTCTGCTACTGACTCTGCCTAGGCAAGTCACCACAGCTGTCTGGGCCTATCTCCTCATGTGTAAAATGGAGAGGACATCCCCTCCTTTGTAAAGCACTTTGTGAGGAAGACTGCTATTGAAATGCTAGGAATTACTGATATATTACCATTGTTCTAAGAATCCCTAAGGCACACAGAGCTTCTACAGCTTGTGAGCACAATGGAGGGGGACAGGAAAGGACAGGAGGAGCCTTACTTCTGCATTTGGACAACATACAAGTGCAAGAGGACATTCAATGAAGATGAAAAACAAGCAATTTAAAACTGATAAAATAATGTTTTACAGAATCCATAATTAACCTGTGGAATTCTCTGCCTCGAGGTGTCAAAGCTGAGGATCTTGGGATGATTTACAATAAAGGATTAGGCATTTATAAGGACAATGGGAACACCTGGGATAAGAGAGAACATTTTTTTAAAGGGAAATAAACCCACATTCCTTAGGGCCTGAGCCACTGTATAACGAAGGTTAGGAAAAAGCTGCCTCTGTGGGCAAGTTATTCCATAACTGCCCCCTTGGGAGTTTCTTGCACCATCTTTAAAATCAGCTGGTGCTAGTCACTGTTCGATACAGGATGCTAGAAGGGATGGACCGCTTGTCTGATCTAGTCTTGCAAGTCCGGTTCCCATGATACACTTTTTACAGCTTTAGTGGGTTTAAAGAGAATTTGTATCTGAATGGGGCTTTGTTGGACACGAAACGAATGAAACTGAAGAGCAGCCAAGGGCAGCGCCGTCACCACTGCCATCCGCATTACAAGACCTTGCAAATACAGCCATCATGGGACTGTTCCAAGGAGAACTCCTAGGACTCCTAAAGCAAGGCACCGAGGAGAGGCAGAGGGTGAAATTAACTCTCTTTAAACCCTTCATTGTCAAACTAATAGGAGACAGCTGGTGTGGCTGAACTGTCGCTTCAAGTGTTGCAGGCTGAGGGCAGAGAATGCCATGAATTCTTCATGGTCACATGAAGTTGCACAGTGCTTAGCAAAAGCACAAGGCCCTTGTTAACCAGGAGGCTCAGAAGGGATCTGCTGGAGAGAGAGAAACCAGGGCAGTTTAAGCACCTGTAAAGCAATCCTAGCTACACACAGCTCTTCAGCCACTTCTGTTCTCCTACTCCTGGAGCTGCTCAACATGCCTTTTCAAATGGCTCAGCCCACCCCTCCAGGCATTCCCGCCCTCCCCCTTTCTGCAATGTGTCACTCATGAGCTAAGACTTCAAAGACTGCCTCAGTCTGGAGAAAGCCCAGAAGGAAGAGGAAATAAAGCTTCTATTAAATCTCTAGAACATCTGCTTCTGGCAAAGGGGTTTATTTTTCATGAAACAAAAACACTGAAATAACATTAAGGCTCTAACTTAAATCAACCAGAGCACGGACATGTAGTTAAGGGTGCCACTCTGTCCCTTCCTCGCCCAGCTGTGCACTGCAAAGATCTCAGACCATCAGATGCTCCTACATCTGACATAAAAGTGGCTTTGCACTTTCTTTTATGCCACTCCCTATGCAAGAGCCAGGTTTCTTTCCCAAATCCACATCTTTGGTGAACCCTCCCTACAGAGGTCCCTTGACTGACTAGCTCTCCATGGCATCTTGCCTTGGCAGTGATATCCCATGCATCATTCCTGGATTAGACTAATTTCTCTGCCTTCCCTTGTTTTTGTGACGTACCATGTAAGTGGGCCACAAGGAATAACTGAAGAAGTCATTGATTAGTACATGCCAAGGAATCAAGAGATTGTGTGTGGTTGGGTGGGGTGGGGGATATAAACAGCAGTGACATTTAGAATTCACTGGCTTATCTTTGGTTTGGTGGCAGTTAAGCTCTGGAAACTCAAAGCTTCAGGCTGGAAAGCCTCAGATTTAGTATGCAAGCTAAACTGTATGGGACACTGAGACCAGACAGGCTTCTTGTGACTCTCCATCCTGCAGAGATATTGCACCAGAACAGTGTAAAAGCAAAAAAAAAGTAAAAACTCAGTTTTTCTCTGACAACAGGGAGAAGGGTCTTTTGTTTAAGAGAATTAATGAGAAAGCCATTCACATAGAGCTAAGATCAACGGCTTCCCTGCCTCCAGCCACAGGCTCTTCAGAGCACAACTCCAGTGTATTATGGCTTAAGAGCCTAGCAGAAAACTTCTTTAGGAAACCAACCTAAACAAAGGAAGGTACCATAATCATCTGTGGCTGTTGGATTAACCCAGGGACTCTGACTTCCCAAAGGGGGTGCTGTGCTCCTGTACTCTGCCACAATTACTTTGGATCTGACAGCTGCTATCTTGACATTGGAAAGTTGCAAGCCACACCACTTTGCAAAACTGGCTTGGGAGAGAGATCACAATATATTAGGAGACAGATATTAAATGCTGTGCCAATTAATCCCCCTCATCATCTAGCCTGAAGCCCTGAAAGGAATTGAACTAGGCCCAGCACATCGAAGATGGGCCTTTTGGCTGGCTTCTGTTTCAGTCTCTAACACACAGCTCTGTTCTTGATTAACTGAACTCAGGGCTGAGTGGTGTCTCCAGACATAGAATCATAGAATACCAGGGTTGGAAGAGACCTCAGGAGGTATCTAGTCCAACCCCCTGCTCAAAGCAGGACCAACCCCAACTAAATCATCCCAGCCAGGGCTTTGTCAAGCCAGGCCTTAGCAGTTTTAGCAAGCAGCTTTAGCAGTAGCCGTGCATGCTGCATTCGCCAAACATTACAAATGATGCTACTTGCAGCCCCAGTGATAAAATGTTTATGTTGTGTTGCTTGTAGTTAAGTCACAATGAAGTCTAATCAATAATGATTCAGCCATACTGTCCACTGGAGATCTCTATTCTCTCTGGCAGCGCAATTATTCACTGAAAATTAATTTTCCTTTAGTTAAACACGTGCCCTTTAATGTTGCAACTACAAGGTGGATGATCTGCTCTTAGAGACTGAGTACAGTACCATGCTGTGCCTTCGCAATCAGATGGTTTGTGTGCGCACACAAGTATATCAAGAAGGCTGGTCTGAGACAGGCACAGTGCCGGCAGGAACTGGGAAAGCTTCCCCCGCCACAACTCTGCCAATCCATTTTGATCCGGCACTAAAGCAGCCCCTGCTGGGCTTATTCCTACCCACACACAGACCTGCAGTCCAGCCCAGGGTGTCCCTCCTCTGGTGCACCTTCCACCTCTCCCAGCCCTGCCCTGCAGCTGGTCTGCTATTCCTGAGCGTCTCTCCTAAATTCTGACAGTGCTCCTGAGTCTGGATTTGCAGCACCCGCTGCTATTCCGGGCTTAACCCTCTTTGTGCCGTCACTGTGAATTATGCCTCGCAATGAGATGTTTTGGAAAAATGGGGAACTCTGATGAGATCAGCAAACCTCCCTCAATTGGAATCTAAGTCAGGGTTTGGACCCAGGTCTCCAGAAGTGATAGACGACATCATTGCGTTGCTAAAATCAGCCCAACCAAAACGCAGACATTAAATTCCACTTTTCCTCCTGGGGAGCAAAGCAATATGAAACCACATGCCCTGGTCCCCCAGTCCAGCCCCCTTTTTAGGCAGATCTGTTGATGGGAACTGCCTAGCACAGTGGCTATGAAAGAGCGCTTAGCCTGAGAGCCGCTTATAACGAACGTTGGTTTCAATAAACTCCAAAAAGTCTAAAGCGAAGTGAAACATTTGGATTGACGTGAAGGGGCTTTGGTAACATGCCTTCCCACAGCACACATGTAAAAATGGATGCTGCTTTCCTGGAAACTGAAGCAGTTATGTAAAGCTAGTGACCTGTATAAAACCTTCCCCCATGTTCCCGAATGAGAGAGGCTAGGGAATTGCATCATCATCATCTTCTGAAGAGCCAGGACCACAGCGAAGTTATCTATCCACCTATGCTACAATAGCAAAGAATCATGAAGCAACAGACTAGAAGAAGCAACATGCTTCTCCTCCTCAGTTGTACTCCCTACAGCAGCATTTCAGTGTGGTCGCACAAGGACACTGAAAGCCTCACCAGCACCGGAGCATTAGCTAAGGCACATGTAAGTTACAGGAGATGCTGAACACTTCACTTTACATCCCCTCCTTCTTTTCACTACTTAAGTCAAACAGTTTTCTATGCTGCTCTTATGCCCCTAAGGCGACTGTCCTGACCTCTGCAGTGTCTAGCGCATTCTAGTGGAACTAAACGGAGAGCAATTAGTGGTTTTTTTAAGAATTTCCTCTCCCGTTCTGGCTAGCTGCGTGAGTCTAGCATTCCCTTTCCCTGCCCCTTACACTAAACCCAGGTGGCCCAAGAACTGCCCGAGATTTAACTAACTGTGATGAAGGCTGCAGCCTTCTGAAAGGGTACGCCTGCTTCATTTCCAGCCAATTTGTCAGCTCTCTCTTGTTCACAGATAGGGCTGAATGGATGTTCGTCTCTCAATGCCCATAACACAGCTCAGAACTACAGGATTAATGTCCAAGGCAAGGTGACTCGCTTTACCTGCTTCTCTGGAGGTATGTGTCTATGAGGGGGTTCATTTAGTGTTATTTTGAAGTCTCTCTCCACATTAGGGGCCAGATTCTGGCCCCGTAGTTGTGATGAGCAGCACCAAGAAGTTATCACTCAAGAGCTTGTCTAGACAGGGAGGCTGCTGTGCAATAAACCAGGCTGTGAATAAGTGTCCACACAGGGAGCTTATTCCACACCAACTCCCCGTGTAGACACTCTTATACCACACTAAGAGTGCCTTTGTGTGGGTCAGCTTAATCCAGTTCCTAAATGGACTAACCTAACCTGCTCAAAGGCAGGCAGTGCAGAGTAAGGGTGGCCACAGGGGAGCAGGTGCAGAATAGCTACCGTGCTTTAAATTCACACCTTCGTTTATTCAAAAATAGCTTCCCCGTGTAGACAAATCCTCAATGTAGGAGGGCAAAACGTGGCTCCCAGTGGCACAGCTACCATGCCAAGAAGGGATTACTCCTTCTTTGTTATAGGAAGGTTTGGGAGTGATACAAAAGTTTGGGAGAGTTTCCCAGCTGCAACATGGATCTGACCATTAGTTCCAAACTTCTGCTATCGATTAGTTGGGGACTCTGGTGGAAATAAAATTCAGTATCAGCCAGTCTAAAATACAAGGTACAAGAAAGGAAGCATGCGCATGTGCACACGCCGCTAAGTGTCAACTTAAAAACTGGGGTCAACTTGTGAAAGAGAGAGAGAGATTAAATTAGAGCTGAGTATACCGTAGACAAGCATGGTACAAGCTGCCTACAATTTAGCACAAACATATCTGCCCTAATCTCCTCCACAACTCTGACTGTGCAGTCCTGGCTTCCGCGTAAGCAGCAACTGCCAATGGTGTCAAACTATACAGGGAAGATGTGAGATAAGCAAATATGTACACAGGAGTAGGACAAGGCCTCTCAACTCATCTTTGGACCCCAGATTCCCCGAAGATTAGAGCCTGGTGAAGTAACTCACCCACTTGGCTTTCAAAGTATTTTGTGCATATAGATAAGAGAAGGATTCAGGGTGTGCAGGAAGTATGCATGTCTTTCCCTTTGTCTCTTCCCAATGTGTATCCAAATGACTTCTCTGGTACTTGAAAAGCAACCAGTGTATTTGAGATAATTAGTCATGAATGTGAACTAGCATGCCCTGCCAAGGTGAAAACACTGATGGAAACAGCATAGCACTTCAGTATTTTTATGTCCTGTCTAGTACCGTGGGAAGATCAGGAGTGACCTCAAGATGACATGCATTAAAAACAAAATACTTAAAATGCACTCAGAGCAACTAACATTAAGAATTTACGGCAGACAGAACTGTGGTAATCTACAAACCAGTCTCCTGAGGGCGTCTTTGAGAAGGAACATTCAACTCTAAATTAACACACTAAACGCCACAGCTTTATTAAGGAAGCACTGCTTATTAATAATGAAAGCTCATGTCTAAGTCATCTGTGTACTGTACAAGTGTCATTTACAGGACTGATGTATGCGAAAGGCTCACTTAGACACTATCTTGCAGACTTGCTAAGACAACAAGCCGCTCTGGACATATTCCAGCAGACGCACGACACTCCTCCAGCTTTCACGATGCCAGGGATATTTCAGCTCTTGAGAACCAGGTCACTAGTGGTCACTGAAATGCAGTGAGAAAGAGAACCAGATGAGGCCAGTCCTGAGACAGATGGGAGTTATGCACAAGAATGTGCTGCCCTAGCAGCAGTCCTTGAAGAAGGCTGCACAGAGCACTGTCCCTAGCTGCAAGCAGGATACTGTAGTTTCACACAGCTAATGTGTATGTGTGGAGAGAAAGGTGGGGCGGGGGGGGGAGGAGGAGAAGGAAAGAAAACACTATCTGCAAACTCCTGCTCAGCACATCAGTCCCATCTACCTAGTGAAGAAATGGATTTCTCAAAAATCCCTGCAGCCTCCCACCGCTTGGCAAAGGAAGTGGAGATCAATTTACAGATATCTTCCGGTTCCCAATAGCTATATTGGCATGTACATAAAGTCAGCAACCTATTTAATTAGATCTAACTGACTTTTAAAGGTTAAATGTTTGAGCACAGAGAAAGACTGGAGCCCTTTTACACATTCACAGGTGAGGCTCTTCGAGGAATGCAATGCAGCTCAGCTTTATGGCAATGTGGCTCTGGACTAGCCCTATACTACGTTTAACTACTAACCTACCCTAAAGGAACGAGAATAGAAATAAATCAAGCTGATCAGTAACTAGCCATCGGGAAAGCAGGTGTGTGTCTACTCACAGAGCTGTAGACAAGGAGATCCAACACACAGCCATTTTCAGAGAGAACTTGGTTTTATTTTAAATGGAATCAAGCTAATCTTTCAGGAGAATTTCTCTGTTGAGCCTAGAACACGCTCCAGTCCAGCAGCCCACATATCGATGTCCAGTAAGTGGACATGTACCCAAGGGGGTTCTCACAGACAATGAAGACAAATTCAGGATTATTAATAGTACTTACCAGAGGGCCCGCAAAATTCTCCTGCCTTAGAGAGAAATGGTAAAAGGTTCCAGATTCCTAGGGCCTGGTGTGTTTTCAGACTTTCCACCTTACAAGAGTTACTAAAAACCTGCCCTCACTAATATTTTAGTCATGTATTGACAGCAGTCTGTGATATGCAAGGTTAGATATATGGGCGCTGAAATTTTCCAAAAGACAATTGATTTAGAAGTTCTCAGGAATTCAGAAATCAATACAGCTTACATGTTAGATATTAGTGCTCAACCCATACGGCTACTTGATGGGTAGAAATGTCCTTTATCTGAAGATAGAAACAAAATAAATGAATTCAGCCAGCTGGAATTGAAGCTCAACTGTTCCGAAGACACTCAGAGCAGGAAGCCTCGGATAGTGCCTGCGAACGAACAGTTTTAGAAACCTCAGTGCAAACAAATCTGGCCTTACCTGTGGACATAAAAAATGGAATGCGAAATTTCCCACTAAGCACCCTTGCCCGCAGATTCTGCAGGGTACTCCCATCGAAGGGCAGAGCACCACAGACCAGCACATACAGGACCACACCAAGACTCTGTGTTCAAAACAAAGATTTGACACACATTAGCAACGTCAAAGGGGACAGGAGAGGCTCGGCAGCGTAGCTTTTGGAAGAATGCAAACACAATTAGGATATTGTCATGGTTTAGCAGCCCCAAACTGATCCTAGCTCAACCTCCCAAAGACATCTGTTCAAATGATAAGCCTGAGACAGGCCTGCTCTTAGGCCTCAAAAACAAAGGCTGCAACAATCCTAAAATCCCAGCCCTTCATCACCACAACGGGAGACTCTGGGTAACGATCATCCCCAGTGTAAATCCACTTGGTTCAATAGAGTTACACAGTTTGTTCAATTCAGTTGTGGCTCTGTGGCAACTGTACATCCACATAGAACACGCAGAGCTTAACTCATGCCGTGCTTCTCGCCCACCCTCCTGGGCCCCTTCTTAAAGCGCACAGACGATCCGGCCAGGAAAACGGAGGGATGGCAGGAACTGCACAGCCACCCCATGGCAACAAACCTCATGCCCAGTTTCGAACCAGGCCTGTAAGGCTGATAGCTCTGCTTTGGCAGAGCTGTTACCAAACAGCTCATGCCTGTAAGGGCGACTGTTTCCAACTACTAATTGATGTGGGATGGGAAGGCAGCTGCTAGCATTCTTCTTTTGGGCCTTTTGCCTTCATTGGGCCCCTTTAAATGCTCTGTTCTGAGGGATATGATCTTTAGTTGCTACAAATAACTACACCAGGTCAAACCAGGTACCAGTGAGAAGTTGGCTATTCTGCTTAAGGGAATCTAACTCTTTTAAGAGCAAATCAAAATGTACATATATTTCTAGACAACTCCTAAAATATTAAGTACAGTGCCTTATAACAAGAAGTATGCAATTTAATAGCTGGAATAAAAAGTTACATTTCTTTGAACAACAATATTCCCACAAATGGGGCCTTCCTACAAGAAGTGAATTCAGTGCTTTGGAAGCAAAGCCACATGTAAAGAGCAGGGATATGAGATCAAAGCAAAATACAGATATGTTCACCACATACCCAAATGTCAACCTTCGGCCCATCATATTCCTTCCCTTCAAAGAGCTCGGGGGCCGCGTAGGGGGGACTCCCACACCAGGTTTTAAGCAGCTGGCCAGGTGTGAAGATGTTACTGAACCCAAAATCTGAAAGAACAATGAGAGAATCGATTAAACGAGGAGTACATGACCCATTCCAACTACTGTAAGCATCAGATGGTGTTTGTGTAAGCAAACTGCTGAGAGATACAGTCCAGTGAAGTCATGTGCAATCCCACAATGGCTGATTGCCACTTGGATCCAAGACAGGGAAAAAGAGCTGCAGATGATCTGTGCACTAAAGTGAAGCTGAACCCAACCAGCAAATTTGCAGCTTCTAATAGGGGGTATAGGGCACAAACTAACAATAGAGGTAGAATGCTGACAATAGCATCTATTTGCCTCATAAAATATACACACCATCTACTTAACCTCCTTAAAAATGCCAGGAACTTAGCATGATTAGGACTGTGTCAGAATCTGCAAATACAGCCATCTCGCTTATTATATACACAGTTCTTACAAGAGGTGTTTTTCTTCCATTTATCAGATGCACGTATCTGCTCTTGCAGAAGAGACATGTTCTAGCAATTAGACTTAGCATTAGGATTTCAATTTACATTCAAAAGACTCTACATGAAGATTTTACATCAGTTTCTGGCCTCCATCCTTCCAGTTGTCAGTTTCAAAAATCTCACTCTCATGATCAGAGCAGGTGTTACAGCTAGAGCTGTTGAAACCAAGATAAGCTGAAGCTATAAAGCAAAGAAAATGGGAAAACTGGGTTTTTCATTTGCCAGAAAGTGCTTGATTCTTTTCTGGCAACCTGAAAGCCCCAGTTATAGGGCACGTCTTCATGGGCAACGTTAAGTGTTGGCCACAGCCAGGACCGGCTCCAGGGCTTTTGCCGCCCCAAGCGGTGGGAAAAAAAAAAAAAGCCGCGCTCGCAATCGCGATCGGCGGCACTCCAGCGGCAGCTCCACCGCGCCGCTTTCTTCTTCGGCGGGAATTCGGCGGCAGGTGCTTTCTTCCGAGAGGGACCCGCCGCCGAACAGCCTGACGTGTCGCCCCTTCCTCTTGGCCGCCCCAAGCACCTGCTTGCTGGGCTGGTGCCTGGAGCCGGCCCTGGCCACAGCAGCGCTTTAATATGGCTTGTGTAGTCGCGGCACAGCGCTGGGAGAGAGCTCTCCCAGCACTATAAAAAAAAGCCACCTCCATGAGGGGAACAGCTCCCAGTGCTGGTGCACTGTCTACACTGGCGCTTTACAGCGCTGAAACTTGCAGCACTCGGGGGGCGGGGTTCACACCCCTGAGCGAGAAAGATGCAGTGCTGTAAAGTGCCAGTGTAGACAAGACCATAGAGGACAGCTCTGCAAACTGATCCAGTCATTCAGAAAGAGCAAACAGTAAACCCTGAGACTGAAGTTAAGAGAAAAGTCTTGGTAACCAAACAGCAAGATGTGGCCAGCCAGCCAATCATTCAAACAGCATTTGTGCTCTGGGGTGATGACAGCATTCCACACTGATTGCTTTGCCACCTCCAGTGTACTGTCCAAATCCCAAAGGTGGTTTTTGCGTGTGTCTGCATATGTGTGGAGAAAGGGGTAGAATTTGGGAGACAAAGGTCTGCATCTCATACATACAACACTGTTTCAGCTCAATGGATATTAAGGGTTCCCCTCCCGCATTGCATCAGCAAAAAGAGCTTTGCCCAGAACATGGCATCATTAACGGTTTCTTCCCTTTTTCTCTCTCCAGTCAAGGAAAAGAAAACAAAATAGCATGATGCAGTTTACATGCCACATAAACAGCAACACCTTACAAGCGGAATTCTATCAAAGATTATTTGCAAATTGCTTTGCCTTTGGATGTTTATGCTAATAATGCCCCAGTATGAGCAAGAATGACATTAATGCATAACCAGGGCCCACGTCAGTAACACACTGTTTTCATAGTATTTGCATGAGAAGCAAATCTCCATATAGGGCTTTTGAGAGAGATGGTGTAAAAGCAGGAAAGCCAGTGAGGAAATAACCTGTCTCACAAATTCGATGTGAATAAAAGAAGCAGGGCACCAAGGTGCAAGAGAGAGAGTACAGCTGGTAAAAATAAAAATGTCTTATGAAGAATTTAGTAAGATTAACTTTGACCCCCTAACTGCAATGCATGGGGGATAACATTAACTTCTTTGGCCAAAGCACCAACGAAACACAGGCTCCAAGCTTTGTACTTCAAGCAGAATTAGTCTCAACCTAGCACTTTGCTAGGTTAAAATCTGCTCTCCAACAGACCAGTAGAAATATGGAGAAATGGAAGTGAAACTGGCCTTTGGTATTTATGGAAGTGGCAAGGTGTATTCAAGATGCAGAGATACCAAGAGATGAGCTCAGTCCTTTACACTGTGAAGATTTTTTTCCTTACTTTCATTTTGCAAAACTGTCACGAACATTTCCCCACCCCAGCACACAATCTACTTACCCATGCTTAAAAATCGTGATTGATAATGGAAAAAAAAAAGTTTTATTTTACTTGTTCATCAAAAAAGTTACTCCCTGGGGGCAAGCAGAATTATGCAGGTCTGGCTTATAACACTGAAAGCGCTGGCATCTGGATAGACACACACAACTGCCGAGCGTATCCGACAAGACCTCCATATTTCAAAGAGGGAACTATGAGAAGAACCAACAATGGCAAGCAGCCATCTTAGGGATTCCCATAGCTCCCATCGCCAGAGTATCTCAACACTGCACAAGACGCCTATTTAACTTTGATGGTAACATGTTATTCCATACCCTCCAACCCAGTGCCAACCTTCCTCCCCATCCCCATCCCAATCCACATGTTTCCGCTTCTCCAGCGATCTTTGCCTTTTTCCGTGCTGACCCTTATTCGGAAAGCTCTCTCCAGGATGTGCTCCATGAGACTACCACCCTCTTCTCTTTCAAATGCCTACAATGACATCTACAAAAATATTAGCCAGCTAACTGATGGGGGCTGGTCATGCTAGGGGATAGTTGACGATAGTTTAAACAAACTTAAAAAGAAAGAATACGTTCGCTTTATCCTCATCCCACCCTTCAGTAAACTGCTCGTCATCTTACAGAGAATAAAAACACCAGGGCTGTATTTCTATTAACGGAGGGGGCCCGGCACATTGTGGTTGCTACTGTAGTACATCACACCACATGAACAGTACAGTTCAAGACCAAAAACTACTTCAAAAATCAGCCAACAGATTAATATAATAAACGCAAATTAATTTCATACCCACCACTTGCCAACTCCTTGGGTTTTGCACAATGTTGGGAACCAAATAAATTACTCTGGCTTGGCAAATACAACAACATTCAGCCTAAGGGGGCTGATTCACAGAAACGGCACACAGCTTGGAGTTTCTCTAGTCCACCTCTGCAAACCTTTGAAATGTGCTCTCATGCTTACAGTGGGACGCTTGGCAAGTCACTGAATTCCAACTGCCAGGCAAGCACTAAAGCCTACAAAAGTAGGCTGCACCTTTAACAAACCATGTGCAATCAAGCTTAAATGCAAGGTTTTTCCTCAAATGTGCTGAAACTTCGGTAGCTAGCTGACATGGTTTGGTTTTTTATCCCTAACATTCTGCAGGAAGGCAATGTGTTCCAAAGAGCTTTAGAGCATTCTTGGGAACCGTTACCATTATTAATAGTGAGCTCTTTGCAGCTTGAGAATCGGGGGGGGGGGGGGCGCAGAGAGGAGAAAGGATGACACACAGAGGAAATGAAAGAACCAGACAGGCAACAAAACCACAGCTCCTGTCTCAAAGTGTTAAAGGCAGAACTTAAACAAGCTCCTCCCCACCCAACTGTTAATATGAGCAAGTCTATAATCTTCACCACAAGCGGCAGCAAACCTCAATGGCAAGTAACCAGAACTACAACCAAGTCCAAGCTGAGATTTTTTTGGGAAACCATCCTGGCTGGGATTGTCCAAATGGCCTTGGGAACTCAGCTCTGACCCCTGTGGGTCCTCTGACAATCCGTAATGCATAACTTGCACATTGCTACGTGGCACATACAGGCTATTGGCAAGTCTAAAAGACTCAGGCCATGTATGCGAGTGACAGGTGGGTGCAGAACTCAATGCCGTGGAAAAGCTCAGACACAAACAATAGGTATGAACATCTCAGAGTATCAGCTGTTTCAGTACTCCACCCAGTACTGATAGCAGATTTTAAATGCCTGCACCTTTCTGCTCACAGTCCATTTTTAATACATTTTCCCCCCAAAGACATCTTAAATCCGAGCATCTCATTTGACAGATGAAACACTTGTTGAATAACTTAGGTCTGGTAGGACGTTTAGGTGGCTTTAAATAGCTTTGGTCCTAGTTGAACACCGAACCAGTTGTTGTAGAAACAGTGATCCTGTCACTTCTACCAAGGATATTGTCCCAGGCATATATGTAACTGGGGCTAAAACAACACACATGCCTCCTTGCTTCAACAGCATGATCAGAAAGCTCACGGTTGCTAGCCTTCGCTGCTACTCTTGAACCAAAATTATCCGTACAGCAAACGGAAGAAATGTCTCAGGACTCTGGAATCAGACATGTAGGTAAGGCAGCCAGCGGAGCCTAAGAGCACTGGTGTTCATTTTGCATTGTGGCTGGGCTTCGGTGGGGAAAATAACTCACTTTGAAGAACTTCCTCTTCGCACAGCATTTCAGACTCCACAATGATTCATGCCTTTCAGCTCTACGGTGAGCTAGAATCAGATGGCTCTCTTTGATATGAAGTCCTGCTGAACGGCTGGAAATAGTTTTCCAGAACCCACCTGTGCTTAATGAACTGAGGTCAAATGTGGGGAGGAAACAGACTTCTTAAAGCTGTGTGGAGCAAGGAGGGAATATCTGTGAGAGAGGATTTTAAAAGCAAAACTCTGCTTTTTAAACAAACATACTTACAGTCTATGAGCACTGCCACAGACTAAGGAAAAATACCGGTTTGCCTACAGATCCACCTACCAGAGCACAACCAGGATGTTGTCCACAAACAGAAGAAATGGGAAAACCCCTACAGAGCACTCTTACCACTGGTTAGGACTGAATGTAGCCACAGCAGCTGGGAGAAG